GTGTCCTCTCCCAATGGAATCCTGCTCTTCCGAGAGACCAGTAAAATGATCACGACCTACGGTGAGTGCCCCCGGGTGGGATCCAGCAGCCTTGGGCTGCCCTGGACTCCCCTGTGGCTTGGGAAGGCTCCAGGAGCCAGGCTGGGGAGCAGTGCCAGGTGGATGCTTGGATACAGGGAGATGGTGCTGCTGGAAGCATGGGGTGGGCAGGCAAGGAGGGGGAAACAAGGAAGGAAATGTCAGGCGTGAGCAGGAGCCAGGCTGGGCCCCTGTGAGAGTGACACCATGGAGAACATTCCTGTCCCCACAGCAAATACACTGAGTTCTCCTGAAAAATCACACAATGGTTTGGGCTGGAAGGGACCTTAAAATCATGGAGTTCCACCCCCTGCCATGGGCAGGCACACCTTCCACTAGCCCAGGTTGCTCCAAGCCCCGTCCAGCCTGGCCTTGGACACTCCCAGGGATGGGGCAGCCACAGCTTCTCTGGGAATTCCTTCCTAATATCCCCTCTAAACTCCCCCTCTGTCAGCTTAAGGCCATTCCCTTTGTCCTGTCACTCCATGGCCTTGTGAAAATCCCAGAGGAGCCACACTTTTCACTGGTACCAGTCTCCCTAACCCTCACCTGGGGGATAAATCCTCGGTGGCCTCAGCCCCTCCTTAACGGCTCCGCTTGGGTTTTCCTGCCCCCCCTGAGTGGGAAGGCTTTGGATGCAGTGCTGGAACGCTGACCCCGCTTCTGTGCCGTGCAGGGAATCGCATCCTGACGCTGGGGGAGGTCCCCAAGGATCAGGTCTACGCCCTGAAGCTCAAGGGCATCTCCATCTGCTTCTCCATGCTGAAGGCAGCGCTGAGCGGCAGCTACGTCAACTTCGGGGTGTTCCGGCTCTACGGGGACGACGCCCTGGACAACGCCCTGCAAACCTTCATCAAACTGCTGCTCTCCATCCCCCACAGCGACCTCCTGGTGAGCACCACACTGGGGACACCCCGGGGAGGCAGGGCCGGGAGGTTGGGTGGGAAAGGGATCGCGGAGAGAAGGGAACTCGCGCCCCTGGAAGGGGCCGGCGGGGAATGGCAGCTCCTGGAATGTGCAGCAGCGGGTCCTGTGTGAGGGGTGTCACCTCCCCACCCAGATAATTCCCCAGGTTTGGGTTGGAAGGGACCTTAGAAATCATCCCTTGGGCAGGGACACCTCCCACTAGCCCAGGTTGCTCCAACCTGGCCTTGGACACTTCCAGGGATCCAGGGGCAGCCACAGCTCCTCTGGGAATTCTATCCCAGCCCCTC